CGGGCCGTATTTCTGCGCTACTTCGTCGATTGCAGAGCCGCGACTCGATTCATTGGCGGCAATACACCCAACGGCGCAATACATCGTCGCAAGAAGAAGCAGCTGCTGCAGCAAAATAGCAGTGTGAAGTGGCACTGCCGGCACCGTTTTTGCCCGCAATTCCATCGTAGAAACAGTTGTGTATTTTAGATTCTGTGGGTGTGACGCCCCTTGATGTGCCGCAAGAAGAAAAGAGAAAAATAAAAATCAGTGGATACAACTCAATAACAATACCTCAGAAGAAACACGCCGCCACACAAGTGCCTTCACCAAAAAACACTGGGTTTGTCACAAGTTTCCTGCAACACAGGAGAGTTTCTTCCTGGGACGGTGCAGTGAAGAAGAAATAATTGTGATCCAAGGGCGAGCTGAAAATATAGTCGCCATGAGACCGCAAGACGCCATAAACAAAAAGACACACCGAGTGCACCACTGGCTAGGGATTCGTGCATCATTCACTCTACTCGTACCATTACCATGTTACTATCATGGGTGGAGTGTGGTGCAGAGTGCGCTTCCACGATCCGTTTGCGCGCAGACAATCGAACCCATAAAAGCCACTGAAGCAAAGGTTTCTTCGCCGAGTTGTTCATGTGCCGCAGCGTTTAGCGTGAGCCTGTTTCGTTGCTCTCGGTGTTGTAGGAGTGCGATGGAACCTTTTTCAACTCTTGTACTTACCAGGAAGCGACCCTCTGAGGAAACGTCGCACCGCAAGGATCGAGAGTGCGTGAGTGTTCCACTACTCTCACTGTGAACACGAGGCCCGGCATGAAACGGTAAGATGTCTTTCTTCGAGGCATCATCCCGCTTCCCTCGTACACTAATCAACCCAGCCTCCAACGCTTGAATAGTCGTCAGGAGACTTGTGCCACCGGTATCCACCATGCCTATCTTTCCAAAATTCGCGCGGCAGTGCCTCATATCGCTTATGGGGTAAGAGGTAGGTATGGAGACGCTGCCAGCAATCACTGCCCTCCACGCGTCCTCCGCTGCTGAACGTCGTCCATGCTTCCTCGTCACGTGAGATGCCGTCACCGCCTTGCGCAAGTCCGTCACAACAACGGTTCCGCAAGGATCACCAAGGCCACAGACAACACGGAAGCTATCCTCCAAGGCACAGCATGACATGATACCAGCGTGTGGTGGAGTCGCGCCAAATCGCCCCCGAGCCGTTCGACATGTCGAAGTTGTCTGGGGGGTATACGCACTTACCATTGGACCCCCGCTCGGATCGCGCCAGTCCATAAGAGAAACTTCCCCGGAGGAGAAGCCGACCACAACGGAGTGTGGTCCCCAGCAGTCCATTGACGTGGCGTTGATGACGGTGCGACCAAAACCACAGAAGTTGGTTCTCTCCAATGGGTCCAACTGAAGCTGGTACACGGCGTCGTGTGACAGAACGGATACTGTGGGATCAAAGTCGTCGTAACGTCGCAGCCGCAGCAAGGGCTCATCGTTTTCATTGGGCAGTAGCGCTGCTGAGTTAACATAGCGCCAGGAACTCGTGTGCAAGTAAGCCGGCGAATTTTTTTGCAATGAGACGTTTTCTCCAGCCTCCTCGCAGCACGCACCTTGCAGATCCGCCGACAAGACAAGACGCAACTGCGCCGCGTGCCCGTTCACGTGAGGTAAAGCCGTACTTGACGTAAACGGCCGCGCCTCCCGCACTTCTGCTCGCTCCTCCTCAATGTGTAATGCTAGTAGCTTTCCATCAGGCCCAAGAGATGCTTCAAGGAGGCACATGTCACGACACTGACCGCTGCCATGATCCACGTCGAGTACGAGGGAAGCAGTGCCACAGTAAGGACGTTCCAAGACATGCTTTCTCCTTCCAGCGTCCGTGTGATGGCACTCCGCTAACGGCAGGCCGTGTAAGGCACATTGGAGACGCCACATCTTCACTCCCGCCGCTAACAGCTACCCACCGGAGGTAAGGGGTGCGTGAAAATATAAAAAACACACACACATAAAGAGCAAGAGAAATAAATAAATAATAAAAACATGTGACGGAAAGCAATAACTGACAGGAGAAACGAGGTTTGCTCCCTCGCTTCCCCCAAAAAAAAAACTCATCACACAACACTCCCATCACCACCAGCGGACAGAAGCACCACCATCCTGACAACAACAAGACACATGACAAAAAAAAAAAAAAAAACAATGAGAATGAAAAAGCGCACCAAAAGGTACATTACACATACACACAGTACTCCCTGTCAAAGAATAAAAAGGAAAAAACGCAAAAAATGGCATCATCTTCTTGAGCCTACAGGGGCCCAACAGATCAACTATGAAAAGATAAATAATAATCTACCTTCTCCCCCCTTTCTTCGTTGTCCTTTTTACATATTATTAAATAAATGTATGTTATAATTTGCCTGAGGCGGCCGAAAGTGCATTCCGTGTAAAAAAGAGGCAACGCTTACATCAGAATCTTGATGCCTCGAGGTTTGTTGGCGTCATCTTTTCGTGTCATTGAACTTTGCAACCGCATTTTACTTTTCTTCTCCGACGGAGGCACGGGAGCAGTTTTTCTCACTGTAGAACCTCGTCTCGCCCTACAGCTGGCGTGGGTCCCACCCTCGTACTCCTCGGTCCACGTGCGTACGTCGCTTAGATGTATGGAGAGGATGTACATATCCAGCATCTCCTTCGTGCGCCGCGGGGCAAACCGCTTGGCAAGCCGTAGCACTGCCTCTTGTAAACGTTCGCGATTGTTGGTGCGAGGCGTGACATCTTCGAACTCCTCCGTAACCCAAAAGACACGTGGAGCAAATCTCCGTGTATCGAGGGAAATGCGACCGGCTACAAAGTCGTAAAGAAGAAGATCCCTGTGAACGGTGTCAAAAACCGCTAGGACAGTTTTAATGAACTGCTCCTCGGAGATAACACGGCCATACCGTGATTCCCGGCGAACCTGGGCAGACTTGCACCGTGCGCCCTTCTGTCGCAGGGTTGTGCCAATCTCACTCTCTACACGCATGACGCCATAAGCAACTGAGAGGAAAAATTCCATTGTCTGCTGGGAGAAAGTGAAACCAAGACGTTCGTCCTGCGCCAAGATATCGCCACAGGTTCTGATGCCGTACACACTCTTTAAAAGCTCAACCTGTGCCTTGCCCATGACGGGAACATCGCTAAGTGGAATATTCGCTACAAATTTCTCCACGGCTTCGTGAGTAGGAAGGTCATAGCGCTCGCTACACAGAATGCCTCCCGACACAGCGGCCTTTGGATCCTGCGGGTGCTGCTTCTGGCTCGCCTCGCAAGCCATTTTGGCAAGAATAGGCGTGGATGAGATGCCACACCACGCCCCAACGTGAAGTTCCTCTGCCATAACACGACTTAGCATGTGTACCACATCCTCTATAGACTTTATTTCAGTGGGCGAGCGCTGCATGATGGGGGTTACCTCCACAGATACCTCCAGCGGCCAACGCTCATCCAGGACGATGAATCGTGTAAACGTTCGCAGCTTCTCTTTGATGCGGTGAAAGTGGTCCGGTGTGATGTCCGCCAACCTTGTTACTCCATCCTGTTTATCGCCATGTAACGCAAAAAAGCGAAAGTGCAGAACCATTCCGAGAGGTTGAATGCTGTACCGGTGCTTCATCCGAAACAGGCGGCGCGACACATCCTTTTGCTTCCGATGGGGCGAGAACACAATTGTTTTGTCTTTCGCCACGATGTTGGCAACAACGGCAGGCGGAATAGTCTCCATCAAGTGCAGCGGCAGTGCCAACTTCTTCAAGTCCACCGGCTCAAGCTCCATGTCAAGGTCCATCCCTCCGCACTCCGCCTCTCCTGCTTCCCGCTTTTTCGTCGTCACAGCGGTCAGCACATCTGCGTCGCGCCTTGTCCGTTGGAGTCGCCGACGCGTACAGCATACGGCACAGAAACGCTGGGCGCCCACGAGACACGACATCTGCAGCATACCCCTTTGAAGTGTACAGCACGGCGGCTGGAGTCGCCGAGTTCCACTTAACGCCACCGCCAAGGACGAGCCATAACGGACGCAGGATGTAAATGACATCCCCGCGGCACACGTATCACTGCAACGGAAGATCACGGAGGCCCAGCGGAAGACAAACCCCAACTATGCAAGGCACACACACGCAATGTATATATATTTAAAAAAGAAACGGCAGCTCAAATGTAAAGAATATGAAAGAAACACAAACGACATGGGGCTGAAGGGCACACGCACACGCACACACACGTACAAACCAAAAAGAAGAGTAATACTCATTTACGTATTTGTACATACAGATTTATATACTTCCGTCGTTGTTGAACACATTGGAGGCGCAGTCAAGTGCGCCCACGGGCCTCTCACTGTCAAAGCAACAACGATAAGAAGAAAGAGATAAAACCCCCCGATGTTATGTGTTATCCCTTGCACCCAGCCACCCAAACTTGTTGCAACGGTATGAGACAGAGAAAATAAAAATCACCAAAAAAAAAAAGTAACATATTTTTTTTCTTTAAGACCCATAACAACCAACAGCACAAGCCAGCCACAAGAAATGGAGGCAAAGCTATACACGCCACGTCAGAGGCAACCCTCAGAGAGACAGGGAGCTTACACCGAGCATACAGAAAAGCATAGAAACATAAAAGTACACCGTAACTGGCACAAAAAACGGAAAAGTAAAAACACCCAGAGAAAATCTCGCGGGGAGGCTCTACGTCCCTCTACTCAAAAAAAAAAAAAAAAACAAAGCAAACCAAACAACAACAACAAAAAAAAAAAGTGTTTCTAAACGGGTAGTCAAGTGAAGTGTGCGCCGGTGTGTGAAGAAGAAAAACAGTAGAAAAAGCAGGAGTGGAAGCGGGGAAAGGAGTTGCACGGTACACTCTCACAACCTCCTAATTTGAAAGCAGCAACCACAGGTGAACTCCATCAATTCAGGGAAAAAACATTCCTAGACGGAGATCATGACCCGCTTCATCTTCTTAGATGGAGGTCGCAACACGTGTGCACTGCCGAGCCTTTTAAGACTCTGCTCAGCTGAAAGCAGACAAGCATTGGCACGTGCAGGAAAACGCCTACTCAAGTCATTTTGTATCTGCCGCAGTTCAGATATCAAGCGCAGTTTCCCTAGTCGCACACCCACCAGTCTAAAGTCGTTAAACATAACAAGATGGGGCTGGAGGAGGTCATGCGTCGCTTCCCATAGAGCGCCAAAATCATCCGTAGCCTCCGTCAAGGTCGCACCATACTGATGACCCTCAAAGGAACGTCTCTTCAGGTGCAGCATGACGTGTCGCGCCGTCTCACGTCGGTGCAGCAGGGTGGTGTGCGCCATCACAAGAACCTTCCGCACAAGTTGCTTCAACTCCGCCTCGCTCTTCAAACGACGCTTAAAGGTGATTTCATGGCCTATGGTTTTTTGTGCCCTATCGTTTCGCATGCGGTCCGCGTGGCTCGTCACCACCCCAAGTCCCGACGAAAGATAAAATCGAAACGTTTTCTCCGGAAACAAAAAACACAGCTTCGTTTTCTGCCTTAACAGTGAGCCACAGGTGCGGATACCCAGGGCACCTAAAGCGGCCTCCTGCACAAGGCCAATCCCAGGCACGGTTCGCACCGGAAGGTTCTTCATAAAGTCCATCACATCCTCGCGCGTCCGAAGCTGCAGCTCGTGCTGGCCGTTCGGTTTCTTGTAGTTGCTCGCAATCTTGGACAGTGTCGCCGTCGGGCCAATCCCTGCACTGGCAGTCAGCTGCGTCTCCGCGAACACACGCGCGCGGAACTCGGACGCAACATCCGCCGCAGTCATGCTAGGGTGAGCCCGCAGGTACGCCGTCACCTCCATCGTCAGCTCGTCAAGGCCCACGCTAGTGAAGTTGGGGTCGTACTCGGCCGCAATTCCCCGCACCACGGCGCTCTCCGCACGGTACGCGTCAAAGTCGGTTGGCACAATGACGAGTGAGGGGCACAGCTTCCTGCCAATATACCCTGGCATCCCGGAGCGCACACCGTATCGTCGCGCTACGTAGTTGGTCGTAGACAGCATATCGAGGCTCCCT